TTTAACATAAGCTTTGAGAACACTTAGTGACCTAAGAAGGAATGAATGAAAGATTACTCTGTAAATGTTATTAAATTTCTTTTCATGTTGGTTCATTCAAGTATTTTTTATGTTAATCAGAAGACTGAATAGATTTTAGTGATTGAATTTATCAGACTTACATTCACACAAGAGGGTGGTTTGGTTTTTGTTGTTGTTTTGAGGCCGCTTTACCAAGTCAGATGCTTTTTTAAAGCAGCAAATGACAAACAGTGAGATCTGATATTCTCTGCAATTTACTCAGTTGCATGACTAAAAAGATGTGGTCTCCTGTAGAGAGTCATTTGCAAAAGCCTTCTCCTTTCCTTTCTCATTTTCATTGAAAATGCCCTCAATGTCTCTGTAGATCATTTGCATAAATATTTTGAACATAGCTCAGTAGTTAGTGATGTTCTTGCACTCACCTTTTTTTGAGGCATTTTGGTTGCATTTCCTCAATCATGAACTTTTTCTGTGTGTACTGATTGGAGTCTAATTCAGCAGTTGTTCCTAACTTTTTCATCTTAATTGCCATTTCTGTTTTATAATATAGCACACTAAAGTGTGTTCCTCTGTCACTGATGACTCCAGTGACACTGTGATTAGTATTAATGTCACTTCAAGTACCAAGGAGATGTATGTTCACCAAAGGAGTTCACTACCGCTGTAGAAGATGTCTTCTGCAAGGTCTGAATCTTAGTGGAATTCCCTGTAGATGATGAGGTTCTCTAGATGTTCCTGTTTATGGAGAGATAATAATATCAGTCCTTGCAACATTATAGGCTGCTTCCTCAGTGAGATCCATAAATGCTTAAACAGTGTGAGTCTAATAATCCATATAGGCAAACTGGATGGATGAAAAATAACTTGTTCATATTGTGATGTGCCACTGAATGATTAGTGCATTGTGATAATATCCTAGCACGTGTATCTGGGATGGGCACTAAAGATGGTCAATCGAACCCAGAACTGAGTTGGAGGAAGAACGTAGGGAAAATGGTTTAGTATTCTCTAAGATAATAGCATTTAATACCTGGCTTTTATATAGCATTTTAAAATTTGCAAAGTACTTTATAAATATTTCTCAAAGTAATCCTGGTAGGCAATGCTGTTCATATTCCCTCTTTATAGATGAGGAAACTGAGACAAACAGATTAAGTGACTTGCCCAGGGTCATACAACTAGTAAGGTCATTTTGATTCCAGGTCCAGCTTTATCCACTGTTCCATGTAGCTGCCTAACAAGTTGATTCTCAACACAAAGATCCACTTTTAAAATACATATCATCTCCTAGTAATATATAGTTGTGAATCTTGGAATACTGTTGCTCTCTGAAAAATCAAAAGTTGCATGTGGACCAAAGAACAGTGGAGAGCCAGAGGCAGGGATGTGGCATCAAAAAGGAAAAATATGATTGGAAAAGGGAGAAGCTTCTCATGCTGAAGGACGTGAGATGGCTGGCCATACTGTTTTGCTGCTGTAGGCAGATTACAAAAAAGCCTAGTGAAAAACTGTCATGAGAGAGGGAGGAACCTATGTGGATGTATGAGGATGGAGTTCACAGAATTGGGGGGAGGGGTGTTGTGGATTGACTGATCTACAAGCAAAAGGGGATATGCCCACGTTGATGAGATCATAGATACATTGAAATATTAATGTCCACCTAACTAGGTCATACTTCTCTGAGGGCAAATACTTTTTTTTTTAATCCGTTCAAGACTTTAACATTCTCAATACAAAGTACAATTGCTTTGGTGTGATTTTCATTACCTAGTTGGGGAGACACAACAGATGTGCCATAGAATCATAGATGTAGAGCCAGGAGGAACCTTAAAAATTATTTAGTCCAACCCTCTCTTTTTATAGATGAGGAAATCGAGACCCAGAGAGGGAAGTTTTTTGTCCAAGGCCAGAAGGGTACTAATTGACAGAACCAGGATTTGACCTTAGATCCATTTAAAATTCAGCACTTTTTCCATGACACCAGACCACTTGAAACAAGTAGAGAATAATTAAAAAGCAGTAAATGAAAAACTACAAACAGTAAAGTAAAACCTCTATACTCAAAGGCTTAGGAAACCTAGAGCAGAGGAATAAAATAAAAGATTGGTGCTAGGGAAGATTTCTTAAATAATGGGTTCATGCTGTTTGAAGAATGGATTCTTTGCTGTTCTGATAGAGAGCTTAAATACAGTGGTTTCTGAATCAGAATTGTTTTAATTTTATTTTTACAAAGATCAACATTCTCTCCCCACTGAGAAAGCAAGAAAAAGAGATCCCTGTTGCAGATAAAGATAATCAAGCAAAACAAATTCCTACATTGGCCAAATTTTACCAAGAAAATCTGTACTTTGAATTTATTACCTGTCGGAGATAGGTAGCATGTCTGAGTCATAATTGTTAACCCCTGGTAGCCTTGGATTTGTATGATGTTTTAGGAAACTTTTCAAAATTATATTTATACATATTTGTTTTTGTCCTCACAGTGGTCCTGTAAATTGATAGTAAAGGTATTATCCCCATTTTACAGTTGAAGAAAGCAAGGCTGGGAGAGCTATTCATGATCACAAGTCAGTGGAGCATCTTTAAAAAAAAGTATGCTGTTTTTAAAACTGCTGTCATTTCCCATTTTCCATTGCAACAAAATACCATTAATCAGAACAAACTACATCATTTATTTCTTCATCTGTAAAATGAGCGTATTCCTCATCTTGTATCTGTAGTCCACATTTCTGCCTAGAGAAGTAAGTATATTTCATCGTCAGTTCTCTAGCATTACATTTGTTTGAGTTTAGATGCCATTTACTCTTTTCCTTTATTTTGGTCATTGTGTATATTTTTCTCTTGATTCTGTTTTACTTCACTTGGCATTATTCATGCAAGTCTTACCAAGTTTCTCTAAATTCTTCCTATTTATTCCTTGTAGTACCATAATATTGTGATATAAATATAACAACATCCAGTTCTATTCAGTTCAGCCATTTAGCAGTTAAGGGGTAACCACTCTGTTTCTAGTTTCTTATTGCCACAAAAAGTGCTAGTAGGAGCATTTTGGATCTAATGAGTTGATATGGGAGGCACTTTGCAAACTTTAAAGCACTATATCATTGCTAACTATTATTATTGGTATATATATGGATTTTATAATGAGGGAGAAGAAACTAGTGTCCCTTCAGAACTTAAATACTTCAAAGGGTTGTTATTGAGTTAAATTTAACCACTAACAACAATTGAGGAGTTGGGGATCAGATTGGTTCTCTTTTTAAGAGGGGAAAGAGAAGGGATAGGAGTAGAGGGAGGCGAATACCAGGAATGGAATACAAACACAATAAACTTTCTGAACTTGCTATTTATATGGAAATGTTCTTTTTTTTATGGGGCAGTAGTTTAAGTTCTGAATAAAAATAAAATTAAATAAATTATGAAGTGTGTTTATAGAGAAGTGTAGAAAGGCTCTTGTGAACTGATGGAAAGTCTGAAGTACTTGTAAGCAGAACCAGGAAAATGCATACATATACACATGTTCGGTGGACAGAACAACAAAACAATAGTCAAAGCAAAATGCTAAAGAATTATAACAACCAGAATAGACTTCAGATAAGATAAATGAGATGACACCATGCTCCATCTTATGCTACATTTTTTTTTTGTTATTTTCGCTGATGTTAACAGGTGAAAACAAATTTGAGTAGAGCCTTTTATTTCCTTGCTCCTCTCTCTCTTTGTTTTACTGGTCCATTAGATCAGGGTTTCCTAAACTTTTTTCACTCATGACCCCTTCGGCACTTCTTAAACTGTGGGTCATGATGGATAGAGTTTCGAACCACAGTTTAAGATTAGATAATCAGGCAGTCTCTCATTGATATCATGCTGGTTCTTTGTCTCAGATGGCATACAAGTCTTGAGGGGCTCTGGCCCTTTAAAACTAACTGTGTGGTTGATGCTTTTCATTTGCAGCCCCTTATACTGTAGTTAACGTTTGTGGGACTTTTTTTTTCTTTTTAAATTCTTTATTATCGAAGATGGATCTCTTGGAGGGATGTGGGGAGCGATGTAGTAGAAAATGTAAGTGATTTTTAAAAATACATTAATAAAAATTTGTGTTTTAAACATGATATTCATAATGCTTGTATTACCTACCTCATAGGGTGGTTGTGTGGAAAACATTCTACGTGAGTGATTTCTTATTATAAATGTAATCAATAACAAAATCATGTACAGAATAAAAAACAATTTATAGACCCTTAACATTTAACAAAATAGGGGCAGCTGGGTTTACCCATTACACATATCATATTGATTAATATGAAAATCATAATTCCTTTCACAACCCCAACTAGGAAACCATTAAACTCCAAATTTTGTGGAAAGCATAAAGTTAACATGGGGAAAAGATCTTAGAGACAATCTCCTTTAACAGATTAGAAAACTGGAGACCAACAATGTTAAGAGATTTTTTTTTTCAGGGGCAGCTAGGTGGCACAGTGGATAGAGCACTGGCCCTGAAGTCAGGAGGACCTGAGTTCAAATCCAGCCTCAGACCAAACACTTGACGCTTACTAGCTATGTGACCCCGGACAAGTCACTTAACCCCAATTGCCTAAAAAACTAAACTAAAATAAAAACATTTAACAAAATAGAATCAAATGAATTATCAGACAAAATATTTGCTTTATGTTTCTTTCAAAATTTAGCTGAAGTTCTTCCTTTGATTTTATTTTCATTGTTATTTTTATCTGCTGGCAAATATTGGAATAATCTACGCTCAATGATCTTGGGAAGTAGAAAAAGGTGGGCATTGGTTAAAGTTGCCCAGGTAGCAAGGCACATCTTCTTTATGGGTATATGAACATAGTTAGCCTAAAGATAATTCTGGTCCTCCCTGTAAAATGTTTTAAATACTACTGGATAATATTATTGCAAACACCTTTTTCTTTCAATATTTTATCTAATATTGCCTCTCATTTTCATTGTCTTTGTAGGTGACAGTTGGTCGAGGATTCGATGTCACATACCAGCTGCTTTCTAAAATTTGTCCATTGATGATTTCCCGAAACCACTGTGTTTTCAAGCAGAATGCTGAGGGCCAGTGGACAGTGATGGACAACAAGGTAGAAGAATTCATAGTACTCATATGGTACCCTAATGGTCTTCAAAAGGGATACCTGATTTGGGACAGGTGCTATTCCAGAAACTAGCTCGTTCACCAAACAATTGTTAAGTACCTTCCATATGGAGATAGAAAGTTTTAAATAAGAAAGTCCCTGCCTTCATAGAGCTTTTAGTCTAAGACATAGATTCACAGTGCACAATACCGCCACCTGAGGGGCTCTGGAACATTGGGGGGGGGGGCGGTAGTAGCCTTGGGTGCAATTGAGAGGTGTTCAATAAAAGTAAGGTTTAACCTAATCTAACCCTAGGGGGCACTGAGTATCTTTTTTTTTTTTAATGGGGGCAGTAGGCCAAATAAGTTTGGGAACCTCTGATTTAAGAGGAGGAGGAGACAGAACTCAGATTACTATAATACACAGTATCGTGTGATAAAGGCATTAGAGAATTGCAAAACAGTGCTGTGTGAGATCCATGTAATGAGGTTGTGGTAGAGGTGGTAGAATTGGGGAAGGCCTTGTAGAAGAGGTGGCAGAAAGGGAGGAAGGCATTCCAATTGTAGGTAACATGAGCAAAGGTAGAGACAGGAGAGTGCCTCTATGTATGCTACTATGTATTATAGTAGCGGAGAGTAGTTCTGTTTAGTTAGAGAATAAGTGTATAGAAAAATGGGAAAATATTGTACAGAAAACTAACAGAAAAATACTCAGCTAGTTTATGAAGATCCTTGAATGCTAGGCAGAGGAATGTGAACTTTTTTCAGTTAGTAATGAGGGACTCTGGCAGTTTTTGAGAAGAGTGATACCAGATCTATTGCTAAGAAAGATTACTCTGGTGTCCAGAGAAGGCTTTTGTGATTGCAAGGGCTGGTGGTAATGAGGTCTTGTCCTGGAATAGTGGCAGAAGGAATAGGGAAGAAAGGATAGCTTTTAAAGGTGTTGCTGGGGTGGAATTAAGATGACCTGGTGATTGATCAGATGTTAAAGATGGAGAGAAAAGTCAAAGACAATTCCAAGGTTATGGACATGTGAGACTAGGTGATTGGTGTTGCCTTAGATAGAAATAGCGAAGTCCAAAGGAGTCGCTAGTTTAGGGGGAAATAATAATAAAGGCCATTTGCATAGTTTAAAATGTTTTCAGATTGCTTCTCATTTGAGCCTCGCTATAGCCCTGTGAGGTAGGTACTAGAATTATTTTTATGCTATTTTTATAGATGAGGAAATTAATGCTTAAACAGATTAAGTGACTTACCTAGAATCATATAGCTAGTAAGTGTGGAAGGGAGGAACAGCAGTCGGTTCACTGCTGATAACAAATAAGATGCTCTTCTATGTCATCCTGTGTTTCCTCTCTACCAAACCTGAGATAGGAAGCTTAGTTTGGGGCTTATTGGGTTTTTAATCCCTTTAATATTGCCTAATAGGAAGTATGCATTGTGGGTCTGAACCTCAGGAAAGTAATCAGAATTAGAGACCTAGGAGTTACCTGCATAGAAATGGGTGTTTCAAAGTGGTGGAATGAAAAGAATCACCAAGGGGTTATAGAGAGGAGAAAAGGAAGGGGGAAAAAAAACCAGAATCTTAATTAAAGAGGCAATGTAGTACAGTGGAAAGGGCGTGGAATTTGGAGGTCAAAGGATCTGGGGTTCAAATCTCAGCTCTTATACTCATTGCCTGTGTGCCCCTAGATGAATTTTTTAACCTATCTGGGCTTTAGTTTCCTCGTCTGTAAAATGAAGGGGTCGAAGATGACCCTGTCAAATCAGGGATTCTTAACTTGGGGTCCACAGACAAGACCCCCCCAAGGTGGTGCATGGTTAGATTTCAGGGGTCCTGTAACCTTGAATAGGGAAAAAATATATCTTATTTCTTTATAATTGCTTTCTATTAACAATACTAAATTGTTAATTTAACAATATTAAAAGCAATAAAATAAAAAGGGGCCTTAGGTTTCATCAGATGACCAGAAAGTCCAGGACATGAAAAAGATTTAAGAATTCTTGCTCTAAGCGTTCTTCTATTTCTGAGTCTGTGAGCTTGTGGACTCAGAAGTCATCTGGGAGAACCCAAGCCAGAGCAGGAATCCATTTACTACCACATGTCAAGGTCAGAACGTTTCGGTTTTTGTCTTTCTCTCCTTGCTGTCTAATAGAGTCTCTTGTACGTAATAGGTACTTACTACACATTTGATGAATTTAATTGATCCTGTAAGCTTTAAAAAAAGTTTCTTTTCCTTTTCTTTTGTCCTCCTGTTCTCAGCCTGTGGCCCTCGTTTTCCACAGCTCTCAGTTCTCATATGATGGTAGAAGCAGTTCTGGGAAGCAGCAGAATCTGGTATGGCATTGGCAATTGAGAGAGTACTTGTTTTTCTATACATCTGAGCTGCACCTAACCAAATTATTTAAGTGGGAGAGACAGTGTAGTCTTTGACACTTTGGGTGACACTACGCAATTACAATTCTTTTTTTTTTTTTAAAGGCAGTTGGGGTTAAGTGACTTGCCCAGGGTCACACAGCTAGTAAGTGTCAAGTGTTTGGTCTGAGGTCGGATTTGAACTTAGGTCCTTCTGACTTCAGGGCTGGTGCTCTATCCACTGCGCCACCTAGCAGCCCTTGCAGTTACAGTTCTGCTAAAGCAGAGTGCTTATATTACATGAGACCTAAGGAGAAGAAGGGGTGCTGTGCTTGCAATAAGGTGGCAGCTGAGTGGTCATCTTGGTCCCTTGGTCTCTTATCTTCTCCATGTGTATTCTGCTGATACAGACCTTTTAGGAAGACAGCCAGGAAAAGTGAGTTATTAGTAGTATGTGTCCTGTGTGTCCGTAGTTAAAGTTTGTCAAGAGTCCTTTCACAGTTAATATTGTGAATTGGAGCCTTCAGATATGAGGGTATCTGTATAGCCCTGTGGCCTGGGTGGCTTCTGCTCCAGAGCATGCTGAGTTAGCTTTAGGAGTATGATGAGGAGCTGATCATAAGCTTAGTGAGCAGGGTAAATTCAATAGCATCATGCAGGTTTCTAGGAAGGAAAACTGACAATCAGGTTTGGATCATGATGGTGGAATTCATACTCACTGGCCTCTGAGGGGTTGGATTACATGTGTGGTGCCAGGAGGCCCCTGACAGGGTGCAGGAAAAGGAACTATACTGAGGTATACTGATTAAGTGTGAGAACTGGCCAGTGACATACTTACTATACAGGCAGCTTTTCTAAGCGCTAAGTATTTTATGTGTCTCATAAAATATGTTGACCACTTTCTTTCCCCTTGTATATAATTTAATGTGTTTTGACTATGAGAAGGAGGTAGAAGGTCTGGGGAAAGAATTTAGTTTAAGCTATAGGTGTTTGAATTATGACAGTAGTTTTGAAGGGACCGGATACTAGATACTAGAAAGCAGAACATCAGGTTTAAAACGGATCAGGGCATTGAGCCATTCCAAGACTTCTTCACACTTAAAACATTTCCTTTGAATAGGTCTAGTATGCCCCCCAGCCCTGGGGAACCTCTGACGTTGGTAGATTCTATGCATTTTCATATATCTCAAATCCAAATTGTTTCCTGGAATAAATTTACCTCCTCATACTTCAAAGGGCAAAAAGGTCTGGGACTTTCTAGGTGACTAGGGACCTGAGTTTTTTGCCTTTCAGGTCAGGTGAGTCAGCAAACATTTATTAAGCATTTACTAAGTGCTGGGCACTGTGATAAGCACTGGGAATACAAATACAAACAGAAGGATGGTGCCTGTCCTCAAGGAGCTTACATTCTAATGAAGGGGAAAAAAATCTATCAGAGGAAGCTGGGGTAGATGGGGGATGGTGGTGAAAGTACCCAGTGCATGGGCATGATAGAGAAGTCCTGGGGAAATTGGTCAGCAATGTAGCATTGCTCTCTTCTTATAGAATGGTCACAGGCACTTTATTCTCTAATCTCCCATGAGTGGAGAGTACTTCACAGTAGGCAGCCAACACTTTAACAGGCATCACCAAATGTGCCACTAAAAAGAAGCATGATGGCCAATGCAGACTCATCTTCCTCTGCACTGCTGATCCCCACCTTCATTGAGCTCTTTATGTTCCAGTCCCTCAAGATAGCACCAGCCTGGACTGGGTCTGATTTGGAAGCAGCTGGTGATACAGTGGATAAAATGTTGGGCCTGGAGTTAGGAAGACCTGAGTTCATATGTGGCCTCAGACACTTGCTATAGCTGGGTAAGCCTGTGAAAGACACTTAACCAGCCCCCAAGTCCTTGCCTATCCTGGGTGCAGGGAGCGTCCTCCCCGTGGCCACTACGCCCCAGAGCAGCTGAGCTCCCAAAATTGTCGTGGGCGCCTTCAGTTGCTATGGCCCGTGCCGCCTGAGTGCCAGCATGTTCTATGCAAGACTGGCGAGCTCCCCACTTGGAGTGAATGTTAAGCACAAGTGAACAGATTTCCTGCTGCCAGTTTCAAGAAGTTTGCTACTGAGGATGAGGCTTGGGCCTTTGTACAAAATTCTTCAAGCCTTGATTGTTCAACAGAGAAGAAAAAGAAAAGTGACACAGAAGACCCCAAAGTGAAGCCAAACAAGAGACCCTGTGGGTCATCAGATAAAGAGGAACAGCTTTGCTCAAAGCTTACAAAACAAAATAAAGACTCAGTACCTTCACTTAGCAAAGATACATTTTTCCTTTATTTTTTCCTTTTTTTTTAAATTAATTTATTTTGATTTATCAATAATCACTTCCATATGCTTTTGGCTTTTAATTTTTTCTCCCCTCCTTCCCCACCCACCTTCTCCAAAAAGGCATGCAATCTGATATAGGCTATATATATATATATATTTCTATTAAACATATTTTCACATTAGTCATATTTTTTTGTTTTTTGTTTTTTTTGGTTGGGCAGTGGGGTTAAGTGACTTGCCCAGGGTCACACAGCTATTTAGTGTTTTGTGTCTGAGGTCACATTGAACTCAGGTCCTCCTGAATCCAGGGCCAGTGCTCTATCCACTGCGCCACCTAGCTGCCCCCCTTGGTGAATTTTTGTTCTTAGGAATGCACAAAAATATCTGAAGGTTTTGGGTGACTAGAGTGCTAAGAAATGGGCAAAGGAGGTGTTACAATATCTTATCTCACTATTGACCTGTTTCTTTCTCCCCACATTGACTTGTTGAGAAACATTAGGCAAATTGTTTTTTCTCTGAGCGTCTCATTTCCTAGCCATTTAAATACTTATGACAGTGATCTATCCTTGCAGATGATTATAAGCCACAGCACATAGAAAATTTTGATAGTACTTTGCAAAGAAAAGGGTCTTTGACTGATTTTAATTTACCATTTCTCCTCCCTTCCTTCTCGGGAACTTCCTTTCCTTCCTCTGGGTCTCTTCCTTGACTTCCTTTTTAAGATTAGGTATTTCTTTTGAATAGCAGGGGCTGCTTAATGGCCCAGTCTCCCTACTCTATTTCTGACCTGGGCCTGTTCGCCCTTCTTTAGGTAACCTGATGAGTCCTGATTTTGAGGGTTCCCTGTAATGATTCTGGACTTAGTGCAGACACCTGATAGTTTTAGCCCACTGCAGCTCAGAAGCACTGAGCTTAAGAGATCTGCCAGCTTCAGCTTTCGCAGTGGCAGGGATTAGAAGCATTTACCACCTCACCCAGCAATTTGCCATTCCTTAAGGAGAATTGTGTTTTAGTTTGACCTAGAATCTCTTGTCATTAAGTGTTGTCTTCATTTACATTATTATAGTCATTGGGTTATATTAGGCAATATTGTTCTTTTGGTTCTGCTTTTTTTCTGTGTCAGTTCACATAAGTCTTCTCTTATTTATTTGAATCCTCCGTTTTCACTATTCCTTACAGTGTAGTAATATATATTGCATTACATTCATGTAGTCCAGTTTATTCATCTATTTTCCAGTCAGTGGGTACTTACTAAATTTTCAATTTATTGCTGCCACAAAAAGTGCCTCAGCAAATATTTTGTTCTCTATTGTACCTTTTTTTCCATACAACTTCTTGGGATATATGCCCTTCTTACATAATTATCCATATTATTTTCCTTAATGATTAGACCAGTGCACAACTCCACCATCATTGTCCTAGTGTTTCTTTCTTCCCCAAAAACATCTAACATTGACTATTTCCATATTTCATCATTTTTATCTAGCACTTTGAAATAGGATGTGGTACTTTGTACCTCTGTGACCCTTATCTTGTCCTATTTCCTCATCCATAGAATGAGGAAGTTTAACTATATGACTTCTAAAGTCCCTTACAGCTCTAAATCTGTGATCCTTTGAGATCTGAATATCTGAATGGCATAGCAGGGATGTGTGGATTCATATTTTCCTGGTGTCACCTGTGACTGAAAAGCAGAGCTAGGAGACAGATGTAGGAAGATTTATAAATTACACCACTAGAAATGAATGCTGAAAACAAACAAATAAATAAATGAGAATTGTGCCACTAGGTGGCACCAGGAGTTAAGAGATAGGGAAACCGAAGGAAAGCTTGTATAGTAGAATGAGCACTGAGAGCTTATTTCTCAGACATGGGATATTTGAGAAGGCATGTAGAGAAAGTACATGGGGGCCATGATGTGCTACCATGATCTAGGCTCTGTGTTGCTTCTTTACCCCTTCAGTCCCCTTTACCTATCTTCAAACCTCTGTTCCATATTAACTCACTGTTTTTTTATCTGATGACGAAATCCATCATTGCCCTTTGAGTTTTACTTAAATTTTTGTACCTTGACCTTTGACACTCATGGTCAGCTTGCTTTCTTACTTGGAGAAGTTTGCTATGTATGCAATATCAGTTTTTTTCTCAGTTCATTCCTGTTTCTAATAGCTCCTAGACTGTAGTTGCTTTGTTCTTTGTTAATGTGTCAGGTATCGTTTAAGTCAGAGGTCTGCCATCAGTGAGAGCCAGTCACCTCTAGACCGACTTGAAAAAATTTGGGGAATGGGTTAGTCAAGTGAGCTATTCTACAGCACAGTAGCCAACGGATCATACTGTTTTTAGCCTAGCTCTTCAACAAAATATTCAGTTAGAAAAACAGGCCCCAGAGACGGTAGTAGGGAAAATATTGCATGCAAAATTCCTACATTTGAGAGCCTTGAAGAGGCGTGGAGAGAAGAATAGGAAGTAGCACATGCTACCTACACGTCGCTCTTGACTTACATGCAATTTTATATTGCCCCTAATCTTCGGGTTGAATAAAACTGACAAAAAGATAAGAGTCAGGAGTTGAATGTGACATGTATATGTTGTCAATATCTTAGCTTTATTTTAGGGCTTAACTTCCTCTCCAGCCCTACCCCCAGAGTTAGACCTGTGGTCTGAGATGCATATGAGCCCTCTTAAGATGTCCCCCAGCTATAGTTACTGATCTCAGTCCCACCCTTTTTTTGAAGCCTAGCTCAAAACTGACTTTTCCTATGAATTAATTTGACCTTCTGATTGTTTTTTCCTTCTGAAGTACTGCAGAATTTGTGGTTGGTGCACATAACTTTATATTTGCTAATATATTACCTTGTATTGTTCACTGGTTTCATGTGTGTACATTTTGTCTCCACAACCAGCCTGTAAATTCTTCAAGCATAGGACTTGTATTATCTCCTTATTTACATTTTTTCATAATTATCTCCTGTAGCACTGAGCATAGTAGGTCATAAGTGCTTAATGAGTGAATCAACTGGACAAAAGCCAGAGTCTTTGACATCTTAATTGTTTTAGCCTCCAGAATAACGATGTCCAGTACAAGACATTGTTGTTCCTTTCTCCTTGGTTTTTTGTGTACTTCATAAGTTTTATTATAACTACAGTTGATAATATAGCATTCTAAATAAGCTTTATTATCTACATTGTCATTTTCACCCTCACAACAAATGTGGGAAAGTAGGTACCCATCTTAGAGGGGAAGAAGAGGGTTTGAAGGTGTTACTTGACTTTCCCAGCGAACCAGGTCTTCCTGATTCCAAATCTGTATTCTCTCCAGTAAGCCACAATTCTCTTAATGTATTCAGGATTATAAGAAACAGGAAGGGAACTTGGCTAACATCCAACCCCTTCACTTGATAAGTAAGGAGACTGGGGCCAGAGAGAGGAAATAACTTGCTCACAGGTAGTAAGTTCCAGAGAGGTTTTTGGTTTCACTGTTATGTCCAGGTTTTTCAGTGGCTTTCTTAGGCACATCTGACTTCACTGACATAACCATTAGAAGCTGTCTGCAGTGGAATTGAATTTTTTCCATTTCATAACACCAAGGGGTGTAGCTTAATTTCACTCTCCCTTCAATGCTGTTGCATTTGTTTTAGTGATTCTTCAAGAGTGCTGGACTTGGAATCAGGAAGGCTTGAGTTCAAATCCTCACTCAGACAGTAGCTGTGTGACCCTTGGACAAGTCATTCAACTTCATTCAGCCTCAGTTGCCTCATCTGTAAAATGAGGAATAGCAACCACCTCACAGGGCTGTTGTAAGAATCAAATGAGAAAACATTTGTATTGTACTGTGCTTTGCAAACCTCAGAGTGTTAAATTCTAATTATTATTACTACCTGAAATAAAATAATTCCTTTCTGCTTTGCAGGTAGTTCTCAGTGGAGTCATGAATATAAAATATATAGCAGATAAACCAAAGCTGCACTTGAAAAATGCTGTTTCTAAGAGTGGTTGTTTACTTTCCTTGCAATTTGTTCTCAAGAGTTTTCCTTCTGAGAATGCCAGAAAGATTTGTAGCAGAGAGACACCTCCCCCCCGCCCCCCATTAAGGAGAATAAACTTGTGAAGCTTATTCATTTCTATTTCTTCTCATTCCCCAGAGTCTGAATGGTGTTTGGCTGAATAAGGAGCGCCTGGAACCTTTAAAGGCCTATCCTGTCCAGGAGGGAGACCGAATCCAACTTGGAGTTCCATTAGAAAATAAGGAGAATGCAGAATATGAATATGAAGTAGTAGAAGAAGACTGGGAAAAGATCCATTTATGTCTTGCCCTGAAGAACGATAAGACGGTAGTTAAGTGCTGGAGAACCAAAAGAAAATGTAGTTTAGAGGAGTTGGATAGCCCTGGAGCGGACGGCTCTTCAGACTCCAGAACCAAAGTGAATAAAGTGTCCCATGACTGTGAGCAGTCAGGGAAGTCCTGTGGAAGAGCCAAAATGGCCAAACAGGCCCCGAAAAGCGTGGACCAAAAGTTGGCTTCTCCTGGACCAAGTGGAGAGAGAGCAGCCGAGGATGACCTTCAGACTGTCTCAGAAAAAGCAGCAGCACTGTCCTGCAAGGAGCAGAAAGGCCCAAGCTTGTCGCAGTCTCAGAGCAGCTTGGACATGCTTAAGAAGACGATGGCCAAGATCCTCAAGCTGAAGGTGAAGGTTCAGGAGAAGCAGGTGGCTGTTCTGAGCGTGAAGCAGCAGAGCCACGAGGGGGCCCAGAAGGAGACTGTGAAGATGGAGGAGGAGCTCCAGGAGTTACAGGACCAGCTGTTTACAGAGCAGGTCCAGCAGCAGCAGAGAGTGGAGCAGTTAGAGAAAAATTTCCAGGAGAAGGAGCCACACTTAGAGGTACAGAATGTGAGAAAATAAGTGGCAGTTTATTAGAGGTATATGTTTTGTGCCTGTCCCTTCCAGAGACTTGGTGTCCTGGACTGAGTCATATTGTTAGAGATAATAGCTGAGCACTAGATACAGGAGGTGGGAGCTTGGGACAGAGGCCAAGGGAATCTGTGTTTGAGGCTTAAAGGGAATTCTTGTGTAAGGCAAAAATCAGGGTTAGGATCAGAATTAGGATACCAGGCCAGATGAATGGCAGATGTAGTCCAAGAACCCAGAGGCAACTAGATAGTGCAGTAGATAGAGTCACAGACCTAAAATCAAAAAGATTTGAATTCAGATCCTGGCTCAGACACTAGCTGTGTTGCCCTGGGCAAGTCACTTCATCTGTTTGCCTTAGTTTCCCCACCTGTAAAATGGGGATAATAACAGCACTTACTTTGAAGGGTTGTTGTGAGGACCAGGCAAGATAATATTTATAATGTGCTTAGCACAATGCCTGGCACATAGTAGGTACTATGTAAATGCTTATTCTCTTCTCCTTTCCCTTCCCCCTCATCTAGGATCAGAACCAGTAGATGAAGAGGGAACCAAACTAGAATTGGGATTCAAGGCAAGCGCCATAGTCAGAACAAGGGTGTGAATCAAGGAAAAGTGAACCAGTGTAGATCAGAATGTTGGAATGCCACAGTAAATTGCCCGTTGGTTCAGTTGTGTTTTTCTGGCTCTTTATTTTTAAGAATGTTGAATGACTTTTGTTTTTAACATCGAAGTTCTTCTTTCAGTACGGCACCACTGACTCCTCTCTGTAACAAAGAGGTGTTTGGGGATAAAGACATGGCAGAACCCCTTAAGGAGCTCTGCCCACCGTATTAGCATTATAATAAACTTTTTGTCACCTGACTGGAAGACTGCTTGAGTTTGTGAATTCATTCCAGATGACCCTGTCCTATACATCTGTGCTTGGGAGGTCCCTGAATCTCTCAACCCGCATCAAAAGCGGATGTAATATTCCACACCCTTTATCCCTCCCCTTTCTACTCTGCGTTCTCTGGGATAGATTGCTCATTACGTTGAATTAGAGTTGGACATTATTGTAGTCTTCTGGTTCTGTTTTCTTTGCTCTGTATCAGTTTATGCAAGTCATCCCACGTTTCTTTGCATTCTTCATCATTTCTTACATTACATTTGTATGCCACAATTTGTGTACCATTCCCCAATCACTGGGTGCATCATTTGATTCCAGGGTTCTGCTATTGCAAAAATTCAGTACTCTGGAATATATGGAACTTTTCATTTTTCTTTGTCCTCTTTAGGGTGTATATAAACAGTAGTAGGATATGAGCAATTTAACAACTTTTTTTTTTCTAATTCCAACTTGTTTTCCAAGAGTTGGACCAATTCACAATTCCTCCAACAGTGTATTAAGGTGCCTATCTTTCTACAAACCTCCTAGCAATGACCGTTTCTATTTTTTATCACTTTTTCTACTTTGGTGGGTGAAAAGTAAAACCTCAAGAGTTATTTTAATATGCATTTCTCATAGAAATGATTTGGAGTGGGGCAGCTAGGTGGCACAGCAGATAGAACATCAGCCCTGGAATCAGGAGGACCTGAGTTCAAATTTGGCCTCAGACTCTTATTAGATGTGTGACCCTGGGCAAGTCACTTGACCCCCAATTGCCTCCAAAAAAAAGAAAGAAAGAAAAAGAAGAAGAAATTGATAGCGTTTGTCATTTTACAAAAAGCTGAATGATGTTTACCTGGAAGACAGATTTAGGTTAACAGATTATCTTGCCCTCACTAGAATTTGCCCAAAACTTCTGTACACCAGACATTGATAATAATTTAGCTGTAGAGGACAAAGTTATGGTTTTGCTTGGGTTTTATGATCCTTTCCTTCTCCCTCTTGAACAGCCAGCAACAGAGGTATCTGATCCTCCACAACTTAGCTATTTGGTATATACTTGGTGTGCTGAGTCCCTCTTCTGCCAGTTTTGACCTTGAAAGACATGCTGGTTTAGTTGTGTCATGGCTGTGGTCCGGGCAGAGCTGTGTTCATGTCTCTGTCCCTGAATACCTCATTAAGTCAAGTCAGAAAGAATTTGTTAAGCATCAGCTGTGTGCCAAGCACCACGCTGACCTCTGGGGATACAAAGAAAGGCAAAACCAGTTTCTGTTCTCAAGGACCTCAGTTTAATGGAGAAAACCTCATGCAAACTGTATGCAAATAGTATATATAAATGATAAATTGGAGATAATCTCAAATGGAAAGCACTAGCGTTAAGGTGGGTCACAAAACTTCTATAAAAGGTGGGCTTTTAGCTGAGATTTAAAGGAAGCCAGGAGACCAAGATAAGAGGAGAGAATTCCAGACAAGTGGTATGGCCATCGAAAAGGCACAGAGTTGGGAGTTGGAGCATCATTTTCCAGGAACAGCCAAGAGCCATTGTGACTGGATTGTAAATTATGTGGAGGGGGGGAAGTAAGGTGTAAGAAGACTGGAAAACTGAGAAGGAGCAAGTTTATAGAAGGGCTTCAAAAGCCAAACAGAATTTTACATATAACCCCTAAGATAATAGGGAGGTGGAGCTTTTTGAATGGAGGTGTGGTTGGAAAGAGGTAGGTATAACGTTGTTACACTAGCATTTTAGGAAGATCACTTTGATGGTTAACTGGAGGATGGACTTCATTGAGGACAGGCTTAAGACAGGAAGGCCATACAGAAGGATATTGTATTAGTTCAGGCATGAAGTGATAAGGACTTGTACTAGGATAGTGGTATTTGTCAAAGGAGAGAAGGGGACTTTGAGTTCTGTCTATAAAATTAAAGTTAGAATCAACAGCACTTGGCAACTGATTGATTGGATGTGGGAAGTGAGAGAGAAGTAGAGGAAGACCTAGGTTGTGAGCCTGGGTCAAGGGGGTGGATGGTGGTGCTCCACAATAGTAATAGGAAAGTGAGGAAGAAGGGAGAGTTCAGAGAGGGTAAAGAGGTAATGAGTTCAGTTTTGGACATGTTGAGTTTAAGATGTCTTTGAAACAAGCAGTTCAAGATATCTGATAGGTAGTTGGGGATGTGGGGCTGGAGGTTAAAAGAGAGGTTAGGGCTAGAAAGGTAGATCTGGGAATCATCAGCATAAAGATAATAGTTAAATCCGGGGAAGAAGATGAGATCACCAAGTGAAATAGCATAGAGGGAAAAGAGTGGAAGGCCCCAGGACAGTCTTGGGGGACACCTATGGTTAGTGGGTATGACATGGATGAAGATCCAGCAAAGGAAACAGAGAAAAAGTGGCCAGACAGGTAGGAGGAGAACAAGGAGAGAGTAGTGTCACCAAAACCTAGAGAGTTGAAAGGGTGAACACCTCTGTCAAAGGTGGCAGAAAGGGCAAAAATATGAAGATACGGGAGGTGAGCAGAAGCAGTGTCATCAGAAAGGGAAAAAGAAATCCATCTAAAAGGTGTCCTGGAACAAGGAAAGGGACCTTTAAAACCTAGAAAGAAGAGACTGTCGCGAAGACTATGAAAAGGGTGATGGACAATGTCAAAGGTTGCAGAGAGGTCAAGAAAGGTGAAGATTGGGAAAAGATCAGTCGATTTGGCAGTGAAGATAGCATTGTTAATTTTAGATGGAGCAGTTTCAGCTGAATGGTGAAGTCAGAAGCCAGACTGTAGAGGATAGAGAAGAGAAGGTGAAGAGAGGAAGTAGAGGCAGGCACCAACTGTAGATGGCTTTCTTAGTGAATTTAGCCCCCAGTGAGAGGAGAGATAGAAGCCGATAGCTAGCAAGAGAGGGGTTTTTGGAGCCATGTGTTCGTAGGCAGTGGGGAAGTATCCAATGGACAGGGAGAAATTGAATATTAGTGGGAGAATGAGGACTGATAGAAGAGGAATCTGCTGGAGAAGGTAGAATGGAATGAGATTAAAGGTGCATATGGAAGGGCTAACCCTGGAAAAGAGAAGAGCCACCTCTTCATAAGAGACAAAGATTAAAGAAAAGATAGTGATGGAAAGCATCTGAATGATTCAAATAAGAGAGAGCTCTCAGCAAATCACCTCAGTTTTTTTCAGTGAAATATGAAGCAAGATTCTTAGCTGAGAGGGTTGGGGGAGAGGGAGGCATGAGAGGTTTGAGGAGGGATGAAAAAGTTTTTAAAAGCCACTGTGGTGAGTGGAATAATGAATCGAGGCGTAGAAGGATTGCTTTGCCATAGCGAGGACCTATTTGAGACTATGTAACATAAATTTGTAGTGAACCCAGTCTGCATGGTTTCATGGTTTTCTTCAACTTCATTGAGTAGGAGCGTGTGAGTAGGAGCAAAGAGCGTGAATGGTGGGAGTAATTCAAGGCTTGAGGCTCGTCAAGGAATGTTTATCCAGAGGATCAGGGACAAGGAGAATAAGGTAGAGTTGGATTGGCTCACCAAGATGGAGAGTGGAGAAAAGTGTGGTTAGTGCAGGGGTGATGGCCTGGGAAAGAACTAGTCAGTTAGAATGATTAGCGGTCACAGTGAGGATTGGGGTTAGAGGTTGCAAAGCAGAGGAAAAGGTGGAATGACAGCAGATTATGATGAGATAAAGGAATTTCAGAGTTTGTGGAAGTGGAGTTTTTTTGTGGGTGCTGATGAGATCAAAGGTATGGCCATCTTTGTGTGTAGCTGAAATGGGTTGGAGGACTCATGGGAAATGAGTAAATTAAGGAACTGGGGAGTTAGTTCCGTGAGAGAATATCAGTATGTGTGTTGAACTTCCATAATATGAAGGCAGATGAGGGAAAGACTGTGAGTCAGGCATTGAACTCTCTGAGGAAGGAAAGCAGGAGTCCTGGAGTTCAGTAGATAACAGCCTCCAGAATCTTGAGCGGTTCATACCTACATATATATACACATACACATATATATTAAACAAACCTTGAAGGAGAAGTAAGTTACTGAATAATGGTGATTGAGAGAATCTGGAAGTGACAGTGGGAACAAGGAGTATTCCAATTCTCTCATCATGACTAGTGAATCAAACGATGGCCTCTGGTTAAACTAGGTGCTCAGGCGTGAGGTTAGATAAGTGCATTCTGTGGCCTGCAGACTAGAATGCTTCAGAACATGAAATTATTTTTTTCTTTTTATGTTTTGGGTCTTGTTGTTGTTGTTGTTGTTGTTGTTGTTGTTGTTTTTTGGTATTTTGCTAGGCAGTGGGGTTAAGTGACTTGCCCAGGGTCACACAGCTAGTGAGTGTTAGATGTCTGAGGCCGAATTTGAACTGAGGTCCTCCTGACTCCAGGGCTGGTGCTCTATTCACTGCGCCACCTAGCTGCCCCTAGAACATCAAATTCTTGATGTGGGCAGGAATCATATAGACACATACCCTGCCTACTTAATATCAAGCTGGTCAAGAGCTAAGTAAAATTAAGAGACAAGGATCCAAAGGATTCTGCAAAGACTAACTTTCACCTTTGAATCAAGTGACTGAGGGCAAGATAATTTATGATGTTCACATTAATCATCTGCTTATTAATTCTTTGATGTAAAAGCTCACAACTTGAGCCTAATTTTCTTATTTCCTGAGGAATTTTAAGTTCTGTCCTCTTCGTGCGCTGGTGATAAGTGATTTTGGGAATGGCAGCAGATGGAGTTCTATGCATTTGGGCTGATTGCCTGTATGTAAATCTTTGCTGCCCTTAGCCTGGTACAATTCTGGAAATTAACAGAGGACATTTCCCTCCAGGTTACTCACCTTTCACCTGCCCAAATGACCTTTTACAATTTAAAACAATTTTTTTTTCCCTAATGGAGAAAGGTGTCAGGGAGAGAAAATAAGTACTTATTATAAATTGAAAAAAAAAATTTAAAAATCTAATCTGGCAACAACTACCCCTGGACCCAGCAAAGCAACAGAGTATAAAAAAAAATAACTGGACTGAAGAATTCCACTGCCCTCTTGCCAAGTGTGAGAAGAGAGTCAGATGTATGGAAGTTGAGGGGAGTGAAGCAGGATTAACCTTCTGTGCACTTACAGATCTCACTTCTTCTCCCTGATGGAGGGAGCAGGTAAATTTTCTGATAAGGTTATTAATCTTTGTAAAGTTGGAAAGTGCATTTTAATCCTTTCTCCCCCACATATTTCAGTGATATTTATTAAGCTCTTACTGTGTGCATGTACTAGGTCACCTGGGGATACAGTGAAGCTTGACATTGGTCCCCACCTTCGAAGAAATTATGATCTTGTTGAGAAAATGAGACTTAACACACAATGAAAATACCAATGAACAATTTTAAGGTGATATTAATAACTGCATGATTTGATACAGACTGTATTAAGAGAACTAATGCAATTCAAAGGGAAAATTCACATAGAAGGTGATGGACACAAATGGGTAAAAATGAGGTCAACAGACACCTGGACAGAGGAAGAGATGTAGCTGTGACAGAGGATAAAGAACAATATGTATACTGGGATGGAAAGGTGCCGCATCCCCAACTCCCAAACCCACTTGAGAGTAGCGAGTGTGGTACGGTGGAAAGAAGGCTGATTTTGGAGTCAAAACATCTGGATTTGGTTCTCAGTTTTGCTACTTATTACTTATATGACCGTACTCCTCATCTGTGAAATTAAGAGGTTAGACCTTTTGGATTACCTTCAAGGTGCTTTTCAGCTCTAAAACTATGGTCCTGTGAGATTGCCTGGCTTAAGAATAGGAAGGTAATGGTCCTACAGGGCAGGCTGAGACATTTCAATCAGCTGTCTAATGTTTCTGAAACACTCTTGTATTGTAGTTCATTGAGTTTTTATTTGACTGAGGAGGAAGCTGAGCCACAGTGGTATTAAGTGACTTATACAAAGTCACATAGCTAACAACCAGCAGAGCTAAAATTTAGTCCCGAGTATTTTGATGCCAAATCCCTGGCTCTTTCAACAGTCCTGTGAGGTAGGTAGTACAGATATTTCATAGGTGAGGAAACTGAGGCTAAGATCAAATGCTCTTTTACGTCAAAGAACTGTTATCTTGTGAAAGATGCTTGGAACAATTCATTTTATTTGCAGAGTAGCCTGGAAGTGAGTTAAAGGTGAAAATCTTATCATAGGCACTATAAAGTCAGGCAATTTTGCTTTTAAATCCCTTTGTAGGTAACAGCTGGAGAGAAAACAGGAGTTGTTCCCACCTGCTCCCTGCCCCCCCCTTCCCTCCCACTGCTCCCAGATGCTCATGCCATCCATTCTGCCCTGCATGTTGCTGGATTTTATTTCTCCTTTCACTTCCCCTCAAGGAAACCTTCCATTTGTGTTTGGCTTTGCAGGGTTTGGAAAAACAGCATGGGGAAAAGGACCTGAAGGAGCAGCTGGCACAGGCCCTGCAGGAGGTAACTTATCTGTTGCCACTGGGCTGAGATTGTTCCATCAACTGTAGAGCAGGGGGTGCAGCCAAGCCTTGCATGACTGATGGCTGCTTCTCCCACTTATCCACCATGTCCACTGCACCTCCAGTCTGTCAAATGGAGCAGATGGCAGCTGCTCACACCATCAGTTCGGAGATGTGGAGCCCCACAGACATGCCAGGCCTCAGCACGAAAGCCTACAACTTCATTTGAGCAGTCCTTCCTCTAGCAAAATGGACTAAGAGCCTCTGAGGAATTGTGAGGCTCATGGGTTGGGGCAGACTGTGCAATTAGAAAAGTAAAGGGAAAAAACGTCAGCTGTGCCTGGGCTGTAAGGCCTATTGCTGCCCTTGCTGACCTCACCCATTCAGAGCTGTAGCCAGCCGAAGATGGGGACCTCAGTGATTAGCAGAAAATGGCAATTAAACATTTCAGGCCAATTTGAGAATGTTCAATTTAAGGATCAGTGAAGCAGATCAATTTACTGAAAGGACAAGAAGCTACAGGTTCACAGGGTTGAAATCTTGATAAAGGTTCCTTGTAATTTAGTTCATTTATTTTAACTGCTCACTGTTTTCTTCCCTGGTTCTTTCTATAAGTTTTGTTGAATCTTTGAAAACTTGCCTCATCCTTCCTTTATTCATCCTGAATACAAGTCAGATGTAAGTTTATCTTATGGTCAGAGCATAGGGTAATAAGAAAATGGATTCAGGCCTCATTAACAAAGATTAACATTAGAATAAGAATTTGTACTAATAGAGAGTTCCCAGAAAGTTTAACTCCATGTTCTTCTTTCTTAGCCTGTGGGCCAGTCTTCTAGGAGAAACAGTGTCACATTATCAGCACCAGAGAACACCCAGAACTTCCCAAGTAGAACATATAAATGCCATTAGGGAAAAGAATGTTGAAGAAGTCAGTGCTGTCTTCGTTTTCTTTTCAAGAGAAGACTTTTTTGTCTTCGAAAGTTATTTGTTTGTGTATTCCCTACTGCAGGTTTCTGTAGCAGGATCACATTTGCTGAAAACCTTATTTGAGGTTGATTGGAAAAAAAAGTTAAGTTCCACTATTTGAAGACACCATAGGAATATCTGATCTCCCCTCATATCTTTTTATTCTCTCGAGAAATACACAGCTCCCTTTATTACCTTGTGTTGGAACAAAGAGCAACTGCTGTGTGCTCGGGTACTTGGCTTGTGGATACTTCTCAGCTTACAATTTAACAAATTTTAGCCACTTCTCACCACCAGTGTTGAGAAGCAGCCTGTTATTTACCATTCTTGTTATTTACCAGATTTAAAGGGATCATCGTAATTTAAATTTATGTAGTTCTTTTAAAGGGGGGAAAAACCACTGGAGTGCCTTTGCAACTATAATCTGACTTTATTTCTGCATCAGGCCTGTGAGGTATGTCAGGCAGGTATGTCCCCGCTTTGCAAATGAGGAAACTGAGGTTTATATACAGGTAGAGTGGCAAAGTCAAGGCAACAGCCTAGTGTTCTTTATTGAATGGTTTATATTTTACCCCTAGTTAATGATTATTACTGTGATATAAATTTGTGTTGAATTTGTGAATTTCTTTTCTGCTAATTGTTTAAATTGCATTTGCAACTGCAGATTCATGCCCAGTGCAAGCCTTAAGTCACTCTCTGTAATGTACAGCATGGCAACTTTGAGAAATAAAATGGAAGCTCCCTGTTGCTGCTCCCTTCTTGACTTCTAGCAGATACTAGTGGTATTCAGCTTTCTGGCAGCACATGGATTGAGGGAGTAGCCAGGATGGCATTGGCTAAAGTAGTTTCTTTGGGATGGTTTTCTCTTTCAACCAAAATGCTTACTTGGACTTTCTGGATCCTCGGTTCCCTTTAATGTTTTCTAAAAGCCAAACAGTTGATATCTGGCTTCCTAGTGATATCTAATATCACTACTGATAGTCCCTCAAAGTCCAGTAAATCCCTTAGCAGAAAGTCTCTCAACAAGAGAATGAATTGTTCTTCACTCTGTTTGAAGACCTCATATGATGGGGGTAGCCACTACCTTGTAAGGCCCATTGAGATATTTATAATTGCCAGGAAATTTTTCTTTATGCTGAACCAAAGCCTGCCTTTCTGCAGCTTGTATCTCCTAGTTCTGCGTTGGACTTGGAGTTAGAAAAGGTGTTCTGGCCCTGGCTTCTGCCTCTTATTAACTGTGACCCAGACCAAGTGATATAAACTCATTGAATCTCAGTTTTCTCATGTATAAAACAGGGATAAAAATACCTGCCTGGCCAATTGTACCAGAAGTCTTGTGAAGATTAAATTAACATACAAAATGCTTTGGAAACTGTAAAACAGTATATAAATGTAAGATGAAGTTATTATTATTTCTTTACTGGTTATAGGATCTCTGATTGCTCTCTTTTCTCTCTCTCCTACTCTCCTTCAAAAAATTATGGGGCGAAGGGGTGGCTAGGTAGCACAATGGATAGAGCACAGGCCCTGGAGTCAGGAGGACCTGAGTTCAAATCCGGCCTCAGACACACAACACTCGCTAGCTGTGTGACTATGGGCAAGTCAGTTAACCCCAATTGCCTCACCAAAAAAAAAGGTTACTAAAAAATGATGGGGAGAGATTTGTAAGAATCCAAGAAAGGAAGGATTTTAATAAAATTGTGCATTTTCAGTGAACTGTAGAACAGAGAACACAGTGGTGGGCTGCTAATATGTGAGTATTTTAGAGACGGGAGGACACGTTAAAGGCTGGGTTAAATTTATATCTGGATGTATTTCTGCAGCATCACGTTCTAATGGAAGAGTTAAGTCGGAGCAAGAAGGACTTTGAAGCAATCATTCAAGCCAAGAATAAAGAACTGGAACTGACCAAGGTACTGAAATTGTGATTTCAGTGTCAATAAATTAGCAGTTATTAAGTGAGTATTGTGTGCCAGATACTGTGCTAAGCACTGGGGATACAAAGAAAGACAGAAGACAGACTCTGTCTGCAAAGGAACTCACAGACTAATGGAGACAACAAGTGAACAATTGTGTACAAACAAGCTAATATGCAGGATAAATAGTGAATAATCAGCTGAGGAAAAGCGCTAGAATTACGATGGGTCAAGGGATCTCTTCCTATAGAAGGGGGGATTCTTTTGGGGACTTGAGGGAAGTCAGTAGGTGATAAGGGGAGAACATTCTGAGCATGGGGAGGACAGCTGGAGTCAGGAGATAGAGTGTCTTGTTTGAAGAACGGCAAGGAGACCATTATCACGGGAGGTGGGGTGTGGGTGTTGGTGTTGGGGGTGACAGAGTCAGACCTGTGCTTTAGGAAAATCATTTTGGTGGCTGAATAGAAGATGGACTGGAATGAAGAGAGACTTGAGGCAGGCTGACCCACCAGCAGGCTATTGCAGTAGTCCGGGTGTTAGGAAATGGGACTTGCTGGGTAGGGACCTGCACTAGGGTGGTGATAATATCAGAGGAGAGAAGGTATTATATTCAAGAAATGTTACAAAGGTGAAATCAATAGGCTTTGGATATGGGATGGTGAGAGATTGTGAGAAGTAGAGGATGATGTGTAGGTTTTGAGCCTCGCAGCTAGGAAGATGGTGATTTCCTTAACAGTAATAAGGAGGTTTGGAAGGAGTTGAGAATTTGGGATAGGGTAGAGTTTAGGGGGAGTGATAATGAATTCCCTTTTGGACATACTGAGTTTAAGCTATATAGGACATCCAGTTTGAGATGTCCAATAAGTTGTTGGAGATTTGAGACTAGAGGTCAGCAGAGAGGTTAGGGCTGGATAAGCAGATTGTAGAATCATCAGTATAGACATGATAATTGAATCCAGGGAAGCTGATGAGATCGCCAAGTGAAATAGTATAGAGGGAAAAGAGAAGAGGGCCCAGGACACAGCCCTGTGGGCCTCCCATGGTTAGTGGATAAGACTGGATGAAGATTCAGGAAAGAAGGCATTAGATAGGAGAACTAGGAGAGAGGGATGTCCTAAAAACCTCCAGAGAAGAGAATATCAAGGGCAAGAGAGTGATTGATGATGTTAAAGATTTCAGAGCTGTCAAGAGGAATGAAGATTGAGAAGAGGGCATTGGGACAATTGTGAGATAATTGATAACTTTGTAGAGAGCAGTTTTGGTGAAATGATGAAGTTGGAAGCCAGACTGTAGGGACTTAACAGTGAGAGGAGAGGAAACTGAAGGCACATAATTTGTTTTTTAGTAGCATCCCAACACCCTACAATGGAATGGTTATTAGAGCAAATACTCTGGCTTCTCCTCAGTGCAGGGGAAATGTCAGTTGTATGGGTCCCAGGGATATCCTGAACATGAGAGAACATTGATGTTTTTATTTTTCCACCAAAAGGCAAATTGCCAGAATGTTGATGCTTACTCTCTGTTTAGTACTTTTGTCTCTAGTGGTTAGTTATTCAGCTACTTCAGTGAGATTAATTCTGGATATATAGTATGGACAGTCACGCAGAGATGCTAGTTGCAACCATGGGAGCTAAGATAACTGAGAGAAGAGGGTAGAGGGAAGAGGAGGCCCAAGATAGAGCCTTAGGCAACACCTCCACTTAGTGGGTGGGAAATGGATGATAATCCAAAGGAAATGAGTGAGTTATTGGAAAGAGAAGAACCAATTTAGAATAGCATACCTAATCCCAGAGAGGAGGGAAGATCCAGGAGGCAGAGGTGGTCAACAGTTGTGAAGAGTTCAATTCAAGTACAGTGATGAATGAGAAAAGGACATTGTACTTAAAGGTGAAGAAATCATTGGAAACCTTGAAGAGAATAGTTTTACTTGAGTGGTGGTATCAACCAGATTACAAAGTAGATGAAGAAGTGAATGAGAAATAAGGAAATTGAAGCAGTGAATATAGACAGTCCCCCCCCCCCCCTTAAATTTGGCTTTGAAAGGGAGAAGAGAGGGGAATAGTTTAAGACTGGGGTTGGGAACCTGCAGCCTCGAGGCCACATTTGGCCTTCCTTGCATGTGGCCTTTTGATTGAGTCTAGGTTTTACAGAACAGATCTTTTTATTAAGGGGATTTGTTCTGTGAAGTTTGGATTCAGTCAGAGGGCCGTACTTGAGGACCTAGAGGGCCACATGTATCCTCGAGGCTGCAGGTTCCCCACCCCTGGTTTGGGAAATGACAGGTCTAAGTTTTTGTTTTAATTTTTTTATTATAACCTTGACTAACATCAACAAACACGAACAGTTTAATATTCAAAAAACAGAGAGGATTGGATGTGAAACTGTGGGTTTCCATTATGTCTGATTTACTTTTATATTTTTTAAGTTTATATTAAATTTAACACGATGTTTAAATACAATCCTGTTTTTTTGTATCACTACCACTATCAACTCCACTGCCCCTTGTCTTGCCCCAAATAGAAGTTGTCCTCAGATCAGCAAAATTTCTGTAATATTTCAGGCTATGCAGGCCAAGAGGCAAAATTGAGGCTATTACATAGGTATTTATATAATGAGAGAAAACACATTTCCACAGACTTTTTATTAACAGAATTCAAAATATAAAAATTGAGTACAATTTTTTGAAATACAGATCCCCTAATGAGAAGAATAGAATTCTTTTTTGGGGGATAACTTTTTACTGAATTGGGGTTCAGAATTAGTGTTCGTCTTTGAAAATGCCTTTTCACATAAATAGGTACTGGCAAATACTGATAGCAATCCGTAAGTGTATAATTTTAAGTGAGTGTTTTATTGCTTGATTAGATTCTTCTCTTGATTTTTGCCTTTTAGCATGCCATTGCATTGTAGATTAATCACTTCCAATTCAAAGTTAGGTGGAAGCTCCTCAACTTCACAGTTAAAATGGGTTTTGAAATATGAAAATCAGAAATACACTGCTGGAACTGTAGTCTGAGATTGGAAAATTAAATTCACTGCAAGTCTATGTGGAATTGTAGATCTCAACTCATGTTTTAACTTGACAGCATAGGAAGTACATAAAGGAGCTTGACATTACCTGTAATTCAAACAACATAACTTGTTGTCAAATTGGTTTTATTGCAGCATGTTTCACATATAAGCACTGTTTTGCCTTGTAATTTTAAATTGAATTCACTGGGAAAAATTAGCAAGTCTGCAGCAAAAGCCATTCAGTGTTCAGTTAATAATGGTTTCATGTGGTTCTTCTCATTCAGAAAAATTCAGTCTCAGTCCTGAGCTCAAAAAATCATAATAAAATTTCCCCCCCCTTCTTTTCTTGTTAACATGATGGGTATGCCATGGTAATAAAATATGAATTAAAATGTCATAGTATGGTGATACGCATGGCACTTGAAATACTGTCATTTTATAACTATGTCACTGTGATTTAGAGTGTACCAAAAAGCATTTCAAAGCAGGGAGAGTGTCACATATGGGCTCTATCACAACTTCTCAACCCTGTCATTGTAGTGTGAAAACAACAATAGACAATATGTAAACAAATGAATGTGTCTGTGTTCCAATGAAACTTTATTAATGGACACTGAGATTTGAATTTCATATAATTTTCACATGTCATGAAATATTCTTTTTTTTCCAGCCATTTAAAAATGTAAAAACCGTTCTTAGGTCATGGATTTCACAAAGACAGGCTACAGGCTAGATATGGCCTGTGAGTCATGATTTGCTTAACCTTGGTCTGGGCAAGGAGAGAAGGGCATCCTCTTCTCAGGGACCGTAGCAAAGAAGAGAATGGGGAATGACAGTAGAAATCTGAGGTATGGAGTAGGAGAGGAGGTTCAGTGTGGATGGAATGATGGTAATTGACAGCTCTTGGTCAGTAAGCATTTATTTAGTGCGTCTTATGGTCTAGGAACTGTGTTGAATGCTGGGGCAAAAGATAGTTCTGAAAGCCTGAAGAAGGGCAAATGTCTTGATTTTAAAAAAACAAAAAATAATAGAATCTATATCATAGGCCAGTGACCTCAACTTCAATTTCTGGCAGCTATAAAATTAATTTTTTTAGTTATCAAATTTTATCTTTTTTATTGAGAACTTTTATTTTAAAGTCACATTTGTTTCTGAATGTTTGTCCCTCTCCCCCACCCAATAAGCCATCCCTGAAGGTATTCTCGACTTCTCTAGTCCCCCACCTCTGCAGTGAAGGGAGGAAGGTATGTTTTCTGAAGCCGAGGTATATTTCCCTGAAGCCAAATTTAGCCGTTATCTTGAATAGATCATTAAAGAGATAAAGAGATGGTTATGGTGGAAACATAGTTTAAAAGAGTGCTGGATTGTGAATCAGAGGACTGAGGTGCAGATCCCAACTCTACTCCTAAAATGACTGTAACTTTGGGCAAGTCTCTGAGAGGGTCTGTAAAATGAAGGGGTTGGGGGAAGGAGAGCAGTGTTACATAGCCTCTGTAATTTCTTTTTTTTTCTTTCTTTTTCTTTCTTTTTTTTTTTTTTTTTGGCTAGGTAATTGGGGTTAAGTAATTTTGCCCAGGGTCACACAACTAGTAAGGATTATATGTCTGAGGTCAGATTTGAACTCAGGTCCTCCTGACTCCAGGGCCGGTGCTTGATCCATTGTGCCAGCTTGGTGCCCCATTGCAATTTCTGATCATGCAGAAAAGGAAGCATGCTTTTCTAGGGAATAGGTCATGCCACAGTAGCCTATTTCCTTTTGTTTTGGGCAGAATTACTTAAACAAGTAGATCTGGAGAATACTGTAGATAGTTTAACCTAGATTCTAGCAGTGTTCTTATTCTTGGGGAAAAGTTGGAGAACTGTAGGGATAGATGGTAATAATAGTTAGATGGATTCAGAACTAATTGGTCAGACCCAAGAGTAGCTAATACCAGCTTGGCAGGAAGTCTCCAGTGGAATATCTCAGGGATTTGTATGGCTGTGTGCTGGTTGAGGATTTGGATGAAGGCAGAGATACCATAATTAGCTTTCCAAATGACATAAAGCCAAAAGGTATGAGAGAATCAAGTTCCAAAAAGATCTCTGAAGAGGCTAGAACATTGGATTGAACCTAATTAGATGAAATTTAAGTATGGTAAATATAGAGTCTTTCGGGTTTAAAAAAATCAACTTTACGACTACAAAATGATGAAAGCATAGTTATAAAGCAGTTTGTCTGGAAAAAGACCTAGGAGTTTTTAGTGATTGAAGCCTTAGTATGAGTCAACAAAGGGACATGACAGCCAAAAAAGGCTCGTGCAGTCTTGGACTGCAAGACTCCATGAAGAGGCTGGCTTCCAGGAATAAGAAGGTGGTAGTTTCCCTGTACTCTTCCCTGCAAGGCATGTCTAGAGTATTGTGTTCTCTTCTGGGTGTCACGATTTAGGGTGATGATAAAATGGAGTATCCAGAGAACAGCAGCCAGGATGGTGAAGGGTCTTCATTCCATACTACATGAGGATTGAGTGAAGAAGCTGGGGATGTTTACCCTAGAAAAGAGAATACTTGGGGATGAGGGATGGGTGCTTGGGGGTGGGGGACATGATATTTGAAGAGGTATGATATGGAAGAGGGATTGGATTTGTTTTGCTTGGCCCTGGAAGGCAGAACTAGGAGCAACGGATGGTAGTTAAAAATCAGTCAGTTTAGGTTTGATGTCAGAAAAAACTTTCTTGCAATTAGAGCTTTCTTAAAGTGGTATGAGCTCCCTTAGGAGTTGGATTCTTCCTCATGGAAGGTTTTAAAGCACAAGTCAGATGATCACTTGTCAGGTATGTTGTGGTAAGGATTTATTTTTAAGTATAGGTTGAATTAAATGTATGCTGAAAAGCCTTCCAGTTGCAAAACTCTTATTTCTGTGACTATTTCCAAGTGCATCTTTTCCCCTGCTGCATTGTTAGCACCTTGAGATCAGGGTTTGTGTCTTCTGTCTTGATATCCTTAGTGCCCATAAGAGTATCTATGTGTCTAGGTTATTAATACATTTTTTTTTACACTTTGAAAAAATAAATTTCTTATTGAATCTTTTTTCTACATCAGTCACTTCCCAATAGAACTCTCCATTGTAACAAATAAAATGAAGCAACCCATTGGCCATAAATATCTGACAACATATGCTCCAATTTGTTTATTTTTAATAAATTTTTATTGATTTTTATAGCATGTAATTTTCCTTAATATTCATTCCCTTCTCCTTCCCAGAGAGTAATCTCATATAACAAATAATATTTTTGTATAAAAAAAGAAGAAAATGAGCATAACTGATCAATACATTGAAGAATTATGATTATGTAAGCACTATAAAACACTTGTGGACTTACCACCCCTACAAAACAGTGGGGATGTCTTCTTATAGCTTTTCTTTTTGAGCCATGTATACTCTTTTGTTATTTTGCAGTATTAGTTTGTGTAGATCTTTCCATATTTTTCTGTATTCATCACATTCAACATTTCTTGTAGCATTGATTACATTCATGAACCCTAATTTGTTTAGCCATTCCCCATTCAATAGACATCTGCTTTGTTTCCAATTCTTTGCTAATACAGAAAATGTTACTATAAATATTTTGGTGTATATAGACTTTCTTATCATTGGCTTCCTTGGAGTCTTAGTTTAATAATAGAATCTTTGGGTCAAGCATATGGAAATTTTGTCACTTTATTTGCATATTTCCTAATTCTTTTCCATAATGTTTGTATTGATTCACAGCTCCACAAACAATTCACTTATGGGACTCTTTTTCCCACAATCCTTCCTGCATTGACTATTCCCATCTTTTGTCATCTTTGCTAATTTGTAGGGTATGAGGTAAAACCACAGAGTTGTTTTGATTTGATTTGCATTTCTTTTATTATTACTGATAGGGAGCATTCTTTCATCTGATTGTCAGTAGCTTGCAATTCTCCTTTTGTGAACTGTCCATATCCTTTGAACATTCTTTTAGTCTTATAAATAAATGTGGTTGTTTGTGCATATACATATACTCATGTATCTGTTAATTGATTCTTTATCTTGGATATTAAGTCCTTATCAGAAAAATGTGATACAAAAAAGTTTTTCCCATTCAACTACTTTCCTTTTCCTGGGTGTACTCATTTTGTTTGTGCAGAAGCTTTTTAGTTTCATGTAATCAGTTATCTTTTTTATCTTTTGTAATTGTTTCTGTAACCTGTTTAATTAAGGATACATCTCCAACCCATAGCTGTGAGAGTTATGTGATGTTTCTCTTTAACTTTTTTATAGTATGATCTTTAATATTAATCACATCTATTTAGAATGTATTGTGGAATATGGTGTAAGGTGTTGTTGTAAGCCTAATTTGTGCCAAAAACTTACCAATTTTCCCAAAAGCTTTTCATTGAATAGGATGTTCTTTCCTTAGTAATTTATGTTTTTCCAGGTTATCAAACACTAGTTTATTGAGTTCTGTTGTTTCTGATTCTTCATTGTATAGTGTGTTGTCATTTTACCTCTCTTTTTTAATACCAGATGGTTTTGATGAGTGTTACTTTGTAATATAGTTTGAGCTAGTCCTCCTCTGTCCATTCCTCTTTTCTTTATTTTCCATGCTATTCTAGAATTTTTTTTTCCAAATGACTTTTGTTATTCTTTTATCAACTTCTGCTAAGTAGCCCTTTGAATATTTCGTTGACATAGCATTAAAACAGTAAATTAACTTGGGTGGTATTGTCATTTTTATGATACTGGCATGGTCCAGCTTTGAGTACTGAATATTCTTCCAGTTTAAATTGTTCTTTATTTCTTTAAGGACCATTTTGTAATTGAATATGTGAATATTTTTTGTGGTTTGTTAGATTTATCTCCAGGTATTTTATGAATTTTGTAATTTTTTGGAATAGGATTTCCTTTTCTATTATTGCTTCTTGAGTTTTGTTATTATTATATAGAATACTATTGATTATGAAGGGCTTATATTGTAGCCTGCAAAACCTTTGTTAAAGCTTTTGTCTCAGTGAGTATCTCTGCTGGTTCTCTATGATTTTCTAAGTAAACCATAGTATCATCAGCAAATAGGCACAGTTTTGTCAACTCTTTACCTAGCTTTATTCCTTTAATGTACATCTCTTTTCTTATTCTTATTGCTAGCATTTCAGAACTGTGTCAAATAATCATAGAGAAGATGAGCATCCTTGCTTTAGTTCATATTTATTGGGAAAGGTTCTCGTGTACCCCCATTGCATATGATGCTTGCTTTTGATTTTAGGTAGATACTTTTTATGATGTTTAAAAAAAAGATACCTCTGTGCTTATACTTTAAGGGATTTTTTAACATTAATGAGTATTGTACTTTCTCAAAGGCTTTTCCCACATCTTTTGAGAAAATCTTATGGTTTTGGATGTTTTTGGTTTTAGTATAACTTAATTATGTTGATTATTTTCCTATTGTTAAACCATTCATGCATCTCTAGTATATTCATTGTGGTCATGATGAATGATTTCATGGATGAATCACTATAGTCTGTTTGACAGGATTTTATTTAAAACCTTTGAATCGATATTCATTAATGATTAATGATTCATTAATAATTGAAATACATTAATTAATAAAAAATTCCTGTGTTTTTTTCCTTCCCTGCTTTAGTTATTTTTCTTATTTTACATTTGTCTCATTAAAGGAATCTAATAGCTTTCTTTCTCAATTTTTGAGAATAGTTTTTATATTATTGTCACTAATTATTCTTTCAAAGTTTGATAGAATTCTCCTTTGAATCTATCAGCACTCAGTAAATTTTTGTTAAATGCAATTGACTCAAATCTCTTCCTTCAGGTAGATATATAGTATTATTTTAATGGGTGACGCAGCTGAAGTCCAGGGAGGTTTAACCCACCCAGGATGACATACCCATAAGTCATCGAAGACATAATAGACCCCAGGTCTTCTGCCTTCTAGTGCAGTGTTCTTGGCAAAAGTGTACCACGTAGATAGTAGCTCTTTAATGACTCTCTTCTGGTGGAGTGTTTCATCATTGTTCAGGAATAAGTATATTTCTTGAAAAACCAAGGTTTTCACTAATTCTAAACTTGGACTAAGTAAGCTTATTGTCTTGCTTTAGTGTCTGCAATGTTACAAGTACCATCTCAGATTTCTAATGAAGAGTAGTATCCGCCTACAAAACAGTTTAGTACCTTTTTAATTTAGCATGATGAGAGAAGAAAAATTAAAGTTTTGTTTAAGAAAAGAAAAAAAACAGGAAAAGAAATTTTAAAAAATTGAACTCAAAGAAAGCCTACATTTAGTATGACTTTTGAGAAGTAGTAACTCTTGGAAGTGGGCTGTTCCATTTGAATCATTCTAGTATTTTAACTCCACTTCTTGTCTTGTTTAATCAGTAATCAATCAGTAGTTCTCCTAGTGATAAATAGAGTTGTATACTTTTGCAGGAAGAAAAAGAGAAAGTGAGAGCGCAGAAGGAAGAGGTTCTAAACCAGATGAATGATGTACTAGAAAATGAGCTTCAATGCATCATTTGCTCGGAACACTTCATTGAGGTAATAACAAGGGATAGGGACTCTTCACCTCCCCACCCCATCATCTGCTTTTGTGTGTGTTTGTTTTTATTTGTGAATCTCACATGCCAAATAAAATGAGCATTTATGTGTACAAGGTAGAATAAAAGAATGAAATTGTATATAAAAATTGCAAACCTCTAACACATACATTTTGTTTTTCTTTCTAAGTATGTAATAAATTTGATGTATGACCTTCAAAGCTATCCTGATTTCATTTTTGGGGGGGAATCCTTTTGCTATTCTGCCTCTTCCTCTCACCTCTGTCCCCTTCAGATTTAAAAGAAAAGAAAAACCCTTGTAACAGATATGCATAGACAAGCAAAACAAAGTCCCGTGATGGCCAGCTCCAGAAATATATGTCTCATTCTGCCCCTTGAGGCCATTAGGAAGTGAGTAATATGCTTCATCACCTGCCCTGTGGAATTTTGGTTGGTTATTACATTTATCAGACTTCTTAAGTCTTTCAAAGTTCTTTGTCTTTACAATTTTATTATTGTATAAGTTGTTTTCTTATATGTGCTCACTTCATCCTGTGTCAGGTAATACAAATCTTCCCTAGTTTCTCTGAACACCCTCCTTTTATTTTTTCTTACGGTGCAATATTATTGCTTTACCTTCGTATACCATAAATTTGTTTAACCATTCCTCAATTGATGGCCATTCTTTTAATTTTCACTTCTTTGCTATAACCAAATTTAAAAAAAAAAAAAAGAGCTACTGTATGTGCATGTGGATTCTTTTCCATTTTGGGGGTATGCCTCTCTAATGCAGCCCAAGATTGCATTACATTTTTGGCTTTCACATCACACTGTTGACTCATTGAGCCTACTAAAACCACCAAATCCTCTTGAGAACAACCACTGTCTACCCATGTTTCCTCCATTTTGCACTGATGAAATTGTTTGGTGTTTTTTTTTTACTGAAGAGTAAAACTTTACATTTATTCCTATTGAATTCATTTTATTTATATTCAGTCCAATATTCTTCCCCCTTGATATCTTTTTGCAACCTATTGTTAGTCATTCCCTTTAGTTTTTTGTCATTTGAAAATGTGATGAGCATGCCACCTACGCCTTTATTCAAGTTATTGATAAAAGCATGTTAAATGGCTTAATACCAAAGCATAGATCGCTGGTACCCTACTGAAGACCCTGTATCACGTTGATTTTGCACCAGTGACAGAGCTACTCAGTTTTATAATTCATCTAGTTGTATTATTTCATAGTTCGTATTTTCCACATAAAAAGTATGATGAGATGCTTTATCAAAAGTTTTGCTAAGCTCTAGGTGAAGTATACAGAGAGCATTCCCCTCGTCTGTTAGTTTAATAATCCTATCAAAAAAGAACGTGAAGTTAGTTTGGCATGATTTGCCCTTTATGAAGCCATGTTGGGTCTGTGTAATCAATCACACCTTCCCTTTTCAGATGTTTGCCAACTATCTCTTTAATTCTCGAATCTTCCCAGTAATCAATATCAAACTTGTTGGCCTTAGAGAATCATTCTTGGCATTTTGTTGTTGTAATTTAGTCCTTTCAGTTGTGTCTGACTCTTTGTGATCCCATTTGAGGTTTTCTTGGCAAAGATACTGGAATAGTTTGCCATTTCCTTCTCCAGCTCATTTTATAAATGAGGAAACTGAGGCAAACAGGGGTAAGTGACTTGCCCAGGATTATACAGCTAGTGAGTGTCTGAGGCTGGATTTGAATTCAGGAAGATGAGTCTTCCTGATTCCAGGACCTGAACTCTGTTCACTGTACTTCCTACCTGCTCTCTTGGCTTTTCACTCTCTCTCAAATTCTGTATCCAAATACTTCCCAAGTTCTGTCTATCTATCCTGTCTCCAGGTTATCTCTTAAATCTTTCTCCTCCCATTCCCACTCTCTCTCCAGAATCACCTGTCACCCACACTCTTGCAGTAGTTTCCCTCATTGATCATTTTGCTTCTATCTAGTATCTCCCCTCCCTCTAATCCATCTTCCTTATAGTTCCCAAATTAATATTCTTAAAACAGATCTACCTTCTCAAAACAAATGCTCTTACGCTCAAAAATCATACGTGGCCCCTATTGCCTCTAGGATAAAATACCAAGTTGCCATTTAATGGCTTCCACCTAATTAAAAAATGTTTCCCTTCATTGTTGTTATGAACTTGAAAAACAAACAGATGTGAATTTTTTCCTATACAAAAGGAAAAGGAGATTGTATATGAATTCATGAATCTCTATTACATACATCTTAGTAGTTGTTGTTTGTAAGTATATAATAAATGCTACATGGAAGTTCCAAAGATGTCTTGCTTATCCCTGTCTCCCTCTGAATTTCCTTTTTACTTTTTTTCCTTCTTTTTGAACTTGCTTTTTATGCATTTAAAAAAAATGTTTCATTGACACTCTTTTGACACTCTTTTTCTTTCTTTTCTTCTTTTTTTGTTTTGGTATCACTATCACTTTTCCCATCTTTACACCCTCTTAAATCTCTCTCTTTTCCTTTTATTTCTTTTCTTTTTTTTTTTTTAGGCAATTGCGGTTAAGTGATTTGCCCAGGGTCACACAGCTAGTAAGTGTCAAGTGTTTGGTCTGAGCCTGGATTTGAACTCAGGTACTCCTGACTTCAGGGCCGGTGCTCTATCCACTGTGCCACCTAGCTGCCTCTAAATCTCTCTTTTCCCAAAATAAAAGCCCTGGCTTGAAGCAAGTATAATTAACCAAAATAAATCCACATATTGGCAATTTCAGAAAATATATATCATCCTGCACCTCTAGTCTATTACTCTAATTGTGAATCTGTGGACCTTAATTATGGTAAGTCTCTGACCAGCCACAGGGGAAAAAAACAGAAAATGATTCAAGATGGTGTTTGAACACAGTCCTTGGAGTGATTCTTAGGTCACTACAAAGTCCTGGCTGAACTAGTTGGGCAGTAACTACTTAATAGATCATTGTAGATCACGTTCTGATTTACTTGATTTACTCATCATATTGTTTCTTTTGCTATTGAAAAAGCATCTCAGAGTGAGATCCCTGATGCATTCCTCCTCCTGCCCTTTCTAGGCTGTCACCTTGAACTGTGCCCACAGTTTTTGCTCCTACTGCATCAATGAGTGGATGAAGCGAAAAGTGGAATGTCCCATCTGTCGACAAGATATTGAATCTAAAACTCGCTCTCTAGTGCTGGACAACTGTATCAGCAAGATGGTTGAGAAACTGAGCTCTGAAATGAAAGAGCGACGAGAAATTCTCACTAATGAAAGAAGAGGTAAGGAGAGGAGGGGAGGCTTCTGAACGCATGAGGTGTGAGGAGCCTGATCCCTCACCACAGCACGTTCAAGATTTAAATAATATGGCAAACATGGGAAAATGGCTTTTATTCATTGAGTAAACTTATTAAAGTGCTTATCTGCGTAGACATACCATAAATATCTAAGATGCAGTCCCTACTTTTAAGCTGCATATAATGTGACTTTTTTCCACAAGAGTTGGAGGCTCTAGTCTTCTGCTGTTGGCTGGTTTCCAAGTTAGACTTAGAATTGAATTTCTCTTAAGTGCACATGCAGACACAAACACAAGCACACACACATACCACTTCCTGTCCTGTTTGTATTCAATGATGATATGTATCACTGTCAAGTTTATATGTTATATAGAAGTATATGAATTTTTATATTAATGAGAAATTACATACATTTATATTTGGGATTCCCACTCAGATGCAAATGATAGTCTGGGCATTAATGCAATTTTCATCTCCTTTTGTTTGTCAATGTATATTTACATATATATGCATGTGTGCATATATGTAGAGAAAAAACTGATTAGTAAAGCATTTAAAGTTATAATTATATTATATAACTTGATTCTCATGCCATTCTGCAAGGTACTAGGATACCTGATGTTCCCAGTTTGCCAATGAGGAAACCAAGGCCCAGTCTGTTACCAGTTGTCAAAAGAGCTCCCTTCCCTTTTGGCTTATGTATTCTGAAGGGAGGGAGTAGGGAACAGGGATGCCCTTAAGCAACATAGTAAAATAGGAGAAGCCTGCCTTTGATATCTTTCTATTTCCTGATGTTTCCTTCACCCCTTTTCCTTCTGGCTGCCCAATTCCCCTGTAGTGATGTCCCACACAGGCTTTTCCCCTACTCCCAGCGATGTGCCTTGCTCCAAAATTATTTCTTCTTTCTTCATATTTGCCCTCCCTGTGCTACATGCCTCTGTCCCCAATAAAAATACATCTTAGGGCCATGGAATGATTTCAGCTAGATATTAAGAGGAAAGCAAATCTGATTAAACTAACTCACAGTATCTGATATCCCACCAGCTCTCTCAGAGGCATTTTTATTTTTTTAATTTTTTAAGTGATGCTTATTCCCTGGGATTTAATTAATGGTATTTTCAAGAATGTATCATGTGACCTGACAGAAAAGCTGAAAGATCTGTCCCTCTCCTTGGCCTGTAGATATTAACCAGTCGGCAGGTGTTTGTTAAATGCATACTATATCTTTGTTTGTATACACACACACACACAAGCACACACGCACACAATTTTTGCACCATCAGAAATAGGTGGGGGGAATCAGGAAAAGTCTCATGTAGGAGCTGGTACTTGAACTGAGCTTTAGAGGTGAGGACATGCACTCGGTGTTATGAGGGGGAAGGTGGGGAGTGGGGAACCACAATGTGTGCAAAAGCTTAGAGGCAGGAAATAGAATGAGGAGCAGAAGAAAGCCAGTTAGGCTGGACCATAGAGTGAAGGTTGGAAGAGTAGATTGGCACCAGGTTATAAAAGGCTTTAAATGCAAGCTGAAAGAATTTATGTGTGATTTTAGAAGTAATAGGTTACTATTGCAAGGGTATAACTTGCTCAGAACTGTGGTGTAAGAATATTGATCTGGCAGTTGTGTGGAGAATGGAGTGGAGAGGAGAGAGACTTTTAGTCAGGGAAACCAATGAGGCAGGTATTGCAGTAGTCCGGACAAGGGAAGATAAGATCCCAGACTTTAGTAGAAGCTTTGTGAGTGGAGAAAAGGAGGATGGAGGTAAGTGATGTTATGGAGGTAGAATAAACCAGACCTGGCTGCTGATTGGATATGCGAGGTGAAGGCAAATGAGGGATCTAGGACGATCCTGGTGTCTTTCAAGGGGACTCAGAGCAGCTTCTTGTCCTGCTCAGTACCCCTTTTGCTTCCTATTATCTGACTTTTCCTTATTCTTCCCATGTGTTGTTGACATAGTTTCCAGCCCAGAACTGGAAAGTACACTGCTTCTTTTATCTTTTGATGATGGGACTATGGATTTAGTTCAATTCAACAAACATTTACAAAGCCCCTACTGCTTCCTGGGCAAGTACCTTAACCTCTCTGTATCTCATTTTCCTTATTTGAAAAATAGGGAAGTTGGACTTGATGACCCCTAAAGTCCCCGCTAGCTCTTAATCTATGATCTGTGATTTAATCTATGTCTTATTTATTTTTGTGATTCTATCAGCTCCTGGTACACTACATAGGAAAAATGTGGGTATCGAGTAAGTATTTGAGTAGCTTTAGTTTGGGTCTCTAATTCCACAGCCTGTTGCTCAGGTAAGATATTGTTGACCTTTGTAGAATCCAGTCCTGAGAAAGCCATCTGTGTTCTCAACCCCACCTGAATAATCACTCTGTCTTTTGGGGTTGGGAAGGGATCAAAGGAATTAAGCTGTCAATATTATTGACCTCTTCTTCAAGCCACTTGGTAAATTATGTTGATAGATTAGACCTGAAAGGTCGCATAGTCCAAACCTTTCATTTTACATATGAGAAAGGTGAGGCCCAGAGCAGTTAAGTCACTTACCCAAAATTGTACAAGTGTTAAGTTTCAGAGCTAAAATTCAAAGCCAGGTCCTCTTATTACAAATGTATTGCTTTTTCCACTGTACCACTCTACTTCTGATAGCTTCTTCTACTTGCTATCTGTATAGCAAACAGGCTGTGTCCTCTGGAATCATAGTTATTCATTTCATTGGTCAGAGTTCCTAAGTCTCTCAAAGTTGTTTGTATTTATAAAATTGCTATGCTCATATAAATTATTCTCCTGGTTCTGCTCACTTCACTCTGCATCAGTTCATTGAAGTCTTCCCAGGTTTCTCCAAAACCACCCTTTTAATCATCCCGCAAAAGTTATGAAACTGTGTTTATTCTTTGATCCAGGGATGCCACTACTAGTTCTATTCTCCAGAATTTTCTGTTCAAACGTTCTTCATAACTTGGTTCCTTCCTGCTCTTCCAGTCTACTTATACCTTACTCTTCCCCACCTTCTTTCTCATGTACATCCAGTGACACTGGCCTTCTTGAAGTTCCTCATACAAGGCATTCCATCTCTTTATTACTGCTTTTTTTTTTAAGGCAGTTGGGGTTAAATGACTTGCCCAGGGTCACACAGCTAGTGAGTGTCAAGTGTTTGGTCTGAGAGCAGATTTGAACTCAGGTCCTCCTGACTTCAGGACTGGCTCTCTATCCACTGCGCCACCTAGCTGCACCTCTTTATTACTATTCATTTTCACTAGCTGCACCCCATACCTGGAATTCTCTTCCTCTTGATCTCCACCTACTGGCTTCTGTGGGTTCAGGTCCCAGGTAAAATCCAACTTACAGGAAGCCTTTCCTGGTCCCTCTAATGCTAGTGCCTTCCCTCCGTTGATTATCTCCAATTTATCCTGCATCTGTCATATTTGTATATGGTTGTTTGCATGTTGCCTTGTTAAGCTGTGAGCTTCTTGAGATTAGGCACTGGTTTTTGGTTTTTTGGGTTTTTTGCCTTTCTTTGTATCCCCAGGGCTTAGCACAGTGCCTTGCACTTAGGCACTTAATAAGTGCTTGTTGACTGACCTTATCTCTTGATTTATCATTTGGAGAATAGTTCTTATTCTTAAAAATTTGAATCAGTTCTCTATATAGCTTACAAATGAGACCTTTGTCACAGAAACTTGCTACAAACTTTTTTCCCCATTGAACTATTTCTCTTCTCATTTTAACTACATTGGTTTTGTTTATACAGAAATTTTTTTAAATTTTATTTAATGAAAATGGTCCAATTTACTTTCTGTAATCCTCTTTGGTCAGGAATTCTTCCTCTATAGATCTGACAAGTAATTCCTTCCTTCCTCCCTTCCTCCCTTCCTCCCTTCCTCCCTTCCTCCCTTCCTCCCTTCCTCCCTTCCTCCCTTCCTCCCTTCTTCCCTTCCTCCCTTCCTCCCTTCCTCCCTTCCTCCCTTCCTCCCTTCCTCCCTTCCTCCCTTCCTCCCTTCCTCCCTTCCTCCCTTCCTTCCTTCCTTCCTTCTTTCCTTCATCGATTGTGGTTAAGTGGCTTGCCCAGGGTCACACAGCTAGTAAGTGTTAAGTGTCTCAGGCTGGATTTGAACTCAGGTCCTCCTGACTCCAAGGCCAGAGCTCTATTCACTGTACCACCTAGCTGCCCAAAATACAACTTGATAACATTTTCAGCTGTTTTTAACGGGTTTTTAGAATACTTTTTTTTGTTGTTCTGACAAGTAATTTCTTGTAAAATATTTGTAAAAATGCTTAGTGCAGTGCCTGGCACATAATAGGAGCTATGTAAATTCTTTTTCCCTCCTTCCCTCCCTCCCTCCTAGCTCTTACAGTTTGTTGTAATGTCACCCTTTATGTCTAAGTCTTGTACACATTTGGAGTTTATTTTAGTGTATAAGATAAGAAGGCCTGAGCTTCTCTTGGTAGATGGTGAAATGCTGGTCTGTACTTAGTTTCTGTCAAAATTGTTTTCCATTATTTCTAGTAGTTTTTGTCTACTAGTGAGTTCTTACCCCAATAGTTCAGATCTTGAGCTTTATTGAATACTAGACTACTGTGCTCATTTATTTAGTATATTGGGTGCCTAATCTCTTCCACTGATTGACCTTTCTATTTCTTAACCAATACCAAATTGTTTTGATGATTCTTATATATTAAACCATATAGTATAGTTTGGTACTATTAGGCCTCTTTCCTTCCCACTTTTTTTTATTATTTCCTTTAACATTCTTGACCTTTGTTCTTCCCAGTGAATTTTGTTGTTTTTTCTAGCAATCTAAAATAATCCTTTGAGCATTTGATATGGCACTGAGTAAGTAAATTAATTAAGCTAGTATTTTCATTTCTTTATATTGGCTTGACCTACCTATGAACACTTAATTTTTCTCAGGTTATTTATATCTGTCTTTGTTTGTATAAAGACTATTTTGTAGTGTGGTATGCCCAGTTTTAAAAGCA